GGGGGGGACTGTTTAGGGGTATATTATGGTTGGATAGGGTTTAGTCTCATATCATTCAGTCTGCATCCTGATCAGATACTCCCCTCATGGCTTTCTAGCAAGAATGAAACCAGATACTTGAGATGTGACCACATATTTCACACTCTGTTTAGTTTGGACCAAAGGTCCCTGTCATTTATTTCTTTCCTAATGCTCACAGTTATACTGTATTAGAAACACATCACACTCACAGGCAAACTCTCTCGTCAGCATTGACTGATTTCATCTACAGCTACAGTTAACCCAGAAGCTCAGAGACATTAACTTTGACCTTCAATTAAATACTCAAGAGACACGCCTTATGAATCATTGCCTTCTCTCAACACATCTTTAAAGTATCTTTCACTTTTCATCAATCTTCACTGAAATCCACTGGTAATTTACACAATCCATTTTGTTCTTTCTAGGAACTCTGGATCTCTGGACATATGCTTAGAAGGGAAGAAAGCCAAACAGTTGAACAGATCATTGTAAAATTACCATTCCTGTTTAGTCGAGCTTGTGCATTTTTCTAACTTCATGATTCTGTACTGGGTCACTGACACATCCAATTTACATATCAGGATTGCAATAACAAGCAAGGAAAGAAAAAATATGCAGGGGATCTACTTTTTAGCACAATTTTTAAACCAATGCCCTTACAGATAATGCTGAAATTAAAAGCACAGGAGTGGCACTATATTTAAACAAACAGCTTCTAGCCATGCTGACTATAAGCACAGCCAAATGCTCATTCCAGAATGAGGTCAGATAGCAAGACACCTGTCCTACTACAGGAGTGAGTATCATTTATTTGTGTTCTATTTACCTTTGTGTTTTTATCTTCAATGAAACAAGAGAAGATGAGCCCCACAAAACCTTGGTCCATCATCTGATACATTGCTTGTGTGCGAACATCTGTAGATAATCAACAACAAAGCAGGGGCAAAGTTAAGATTTCAAACATCTCTCCTGTAATGGCGGTCACAGGACTATCAACATCAGATGATCAAGACAAAGAAGTGTTCCTTTTCTCCAGAAACAGCAGAAAGCTTCAGGAAAGAAACTATCCAATGAAGGACATCTGAAAACTAAAATCAAGGTGAGCATAAAAGCTAGTGAAAACAAGATGACAGTCAGCCGTAGAATCCTAGAAACCAGTTGCTTGTCCAGTTGTACTCCTATCTTCAAAACCTTGAAAAACACTGATTCCTTTTCGGTATATGTATGTCTCTTAAAGCAGTATGTGCATCACCTCCCAAAAGACAATGTAATCAATTCTAGACAAGACTTCAATAAATGAGACTTTCCAAATAGCTGAAAATACAAAACTATTTTGCTATATGTGAGAATCAGTGCTGGATCAATGCATGCATATTAGAAGAGTTACGCACAGTTTAGCTTAAATGAGGTATTTCTGTACTTCAATCTTCCCAGATCAGATTGGACAGAACCATAGCTTAGCAGAACGCCAAAGATTCAATTCTCACTACTGGAAATTTTCTGCCAGTCAAGTATAGCTTATTTAATTAGAGCTAATTATCAGGTTCAGTATAAAGCACAGCCTATGTAACTGACTCCTTCCAAATCTTACCCAAGTCAGCAAAGGTCCTCATTAGAGCATTTAACTTGTTCAAATCCTAAATCTTGGGAAGATGTGGAAAGAAAGTAGCTTCAACCATCTGAACATACCCTTCCAAAAGATGGTTATCTACCCACAGTTTGGGAACTTTACTCTTAATTACAGAACATACTGTCTTACCTACATGTGACGGCCAAACTGTTATGTGAGGATGAGAATGGTACCAGCCTACAACTCTCATGGGCCGTCCTGTTAATTCAGCCAATCTGTGTGTTAGTTAAGGGTTTTCAAAAAAACTACCAGAAACATATATAAGACAGTAAGTATACTTTTGATGCTGTGGTGCAACAGCACTAAAATAACACATTTAAATTTCTTGCAGCTTCATCAAAACAGTAATTTAATAAATCCCTGGAATAAATCTTTCCTCACATTTAAACAAGCAAGGAAGTTCATAATGAACAAATGCTGAAATTAACCAAAGTAAACACACTTCAGTGTAAACTCCTCTTCCAGTATAGAAAAGGAAATCAAGTCTAGAAGTCTCTTTTCTAGATCACAAATATATGTCTGCTTTGCAACTACCTGAAAGTTATTAATCCATAAACTTGGTAAAAAGATATCTCTGCTTCTGTTGAAGCAGCTGAGAGCTGCTCAGGAGAAATTTCCACACGGTCTTTTCTTTTATCTGACCTGCGTAGAATGATCACTGAGTGAATGTGAACAATTCGGCTTGTGTCAACCTGCAGGTAACAAAAAAAAAAATCACTGATGGCCCAATACAACACAAGATACATCTCACTGGCTGTACTTGTATGATATGCTAAGCCTCTGCATCAGGTTAATGAGATCCCTACAAGCTATCAACTTACCTGTCACCATCTTATCTCTCTGTGATCCTTTTAAAAAATGCCGACATTTCCCTGTAAATGTATGGACGCAGCTACTGTGTTCAGGATACCAGAATATGAAACCAATCTTGCTTGATGTTCACATTCCAGTTTATGGAAGGATGAATCTTGCAAATACATGTTGCAATACACTCGTATAGTAAAAACAGCACTATATTCACTCATTCGCTGTGTACACGTGCTTGCTTTTTTCCTATCCATTCCCACTCTCTGACACAGTATTTAAATATTAAATAATATTGAATAATACTTATTAAGTATTTTATTAAACATTTAAAATGTTAAAAATAATGTGTATATGTGTGTATATAATTATATAACGGTAAACATAAATATTATTAGCTATCAATTAATTAAATATTTAATAATTAAATATTATTAAAGGCAGGATTAATATGTAATAATAATAGTACTAAAACAAGCACATAAATAAACGTCGGCCTGCTCGTTCCTTTCAGCGCCAGGACAGCGCAGCTAACAGATCCCGGATCAAGGCCGGGCTCGCCCCCCGCTAGGCCCCAGTCAGGCAACGACGTCGCCCGGGCATAACTCGCGGCGCTCGGCCCTTTTCTGCGGCTGAGCTGGCTCGGCTTACGGCTCCGGGTTAGAAAGGGGGTGCTGGCAACCGGCGGTGGGGGGGTTAACGGACCCCTCGGTTTTGGTTACTGCCCCGGGGC